CCTGTCTCACATTCAGGTCCTTTATCCATTTTGAGTTTATTTTTGTGAATGGTGTGAGAAAGTGGTCTAGTTTCAACCTTCTGCATGTTGCTGTCCAGTTCTCCCAGCACCATTTGTTAAAGAGACTGTCTTTTTTCCATTGGATGTTCTTTCCTGCTTTGTCAAAGATGAGTTGGCCATACGTTTGTGGGTCTAGTTCTGGGGTTTCTATTCTATTCCATTGGTCTATGTGTCTGTTTTTGTGCCAATACCATGCTGTCTTGATGATGACAGCTTTGTAGTAGAGGCTAAAGTCTGGGATTGTGATGCCTCCTGCTTTGGTCTTCTTCTTCAAAATTCCTTTGGCTATTCGGGGCCTTTTGTGGTTCCATATGAATTTTAGGATTGCTTGTTCTAGTTTCGAGAAGAATGCTGGTGCAATTTTGATTGGGATTGCATTGAATGTGTAGATAGCTTTGGGTAGTATTGACATTTTGACAATATTTATTCTTCCAATCCATGAGCAGGGAATGTCTTTCCATTTCTTTAAATCTTCTTCAATTACCTTCATAAGCTTTCTATAGTTTTCAGCATACAGATCCTTTACATCTTTGGTTAGATTTATTCCTAGGTATTTTATGCTTCTTGGTGCAATTGTGAATGGGATCAGTTTCTTTATTTGTCTTTCTGTTGCTTCATTGTTAGTGTATAAGAATGCAACTGATTTCTGTACATTGATTTTGTATCCTGCAACTTTGCTGAATTCATGTATCAGTTCTAGCAGACTTTTGATGGAGTCTATTGGATTTTCCATGTACAATATCATGTCATCTGCAAAAAGCGAAAGCTTGACTTCATCTTTGCCAATTTTGATGCCTTTGATTTCCTTGTGTTGTCTGATTGCTGATGCTAGTACTTCCAACACTATGTTAAACAACAGCGGTGAGAGTGGACATCTCTGTCGTGTTCCTGATCTCAGGGAAAAAGCTCTCAGTTTTTCGCAAAGATTTTTTGAGAGAGGTGAGGAAAGAAAAAACTTGGCCTGTGGGACGTTCTCTGTCTTTCTTTCTTTCTTTCTTTCTTTCGTTCTTTCTTTCTTTCTATCTATCTCTTTTTTCTTTCTTTCTTTCTTTCTTTCTTTCTTTCTTTCTTTCTTCTTTTTCTTTCTTTCTTTCTTTCTTTCTTTGTTTCAGAATGAAGTCAACCCTTAGGTCTTCTAGACCCTCAGAATCTGTTTGTGGGAGAAAGAGCCCAAAGGTTAGCTTTGGGCTCTGCTGGGCCTCAGGCAGGTAACTCTGGAAAGAGAGCTTGGGGAAGTATGGAAAGTAATAGAGCTGTGAGTGGCCTAGGAGGTAATGTGCCTCATGAGGTGTTGCTTTGACCTTTGACCAGGCTAGCAGGGGTAGGGTCCACATCTCAGGGTCAAACGGGTGCGCTGTAGGCTTTGGGGGTGTGATTTAATTGTGACTCTGCTTTTCTCCTTTGCCAGGCAAGTGAGACACGAGATCTAAGGGAGCAGCGATGGCAGGTGAGTTTTCCAGGGGCCAGGCTGAGGGTGAAGGGCCTACCCAGGGGCTCGCAGGAAAGGTGCATGCTTACTTTTCAAGTCCTTTCCAGCTTTCCCGTCCTGAGTGTGTCCCTGTGGCCCCTGTCTCATCGTCTGGGTAGCAGGTTTGTCCTCTCAACTCTGGTTCCCTTCTGGAGTATGTGCTCACTTGTCCACTATGAGAGAAACTACTATGACAGGCCATGGAAAAGGGCACCTGCTTGTTGGTAAAGCCCTGCTTGCTTCACTGCAAGGGGCTGGTTGGCAGGAGACCGAGCTCAGGCTTACGGAGGCATATAGCTGATACTATGCTAGGTAGTTTGACTGTAGCTGGGTCCCTTCCTTTGGAATAGGTCGATATGGCTAGCACTCAATGACATTTTTTGCAGGAAGCATCTGTGCCCAGTCTACAAAGACTTATATTCTCCCTGCTACCTTCTTTCCAGAGGCACTCTTAGATTCGTATGCATCCAGTGCCTTGATCTAGCCCAGATTGGGTTTGTAGTAGACTGTTTGGGGGTAGGCTGTTGATGACGGCACAGGTGGCCTTTCAGGTGGATGGACCCCACCCTGGTAGACTGCTATGGGGTGATTTGGTATTGGTCACCAGCATCAGTCTGTAGGGGAGCCAATTCTCATGATAAGGGCTCTGATGTTCTCTTTTTGAGGTGAGGCAGAAGATACTGGGTACTTTCTCTGTGTTGACTACAATACTCAAAATCTTTCATGTCCATTGTTCTTGTGCAACAAGCACCTCCCTCTCAGATCCCATTTTCCTCCATAACACCAGAGGCCTGAGTCTTGCTGGGTTCATGGTATTCTAAGCAGATACATCATGGCATCACAGAAAGTTGGCACTTTCATCCCTTTTACAAGGGGCTAGTCATATCTGGGGTGGTGTCTTGCCCACTGGTTGTGTCTTGCTTTCCTTTGTCACTGTGTTTCTGTGTCTGGGCTGAGTCTGGTTTGAAGGAGCCCCTGGGTGCCTCCCTATTCCAGGCTTCAGTGCAGCTCTCTCTTCAGTGTTTCTGGAGGCCAAGAATGCCCATTCTGTCCTGAAACGGTTCCCTCGTGCCAATGAATTCCTGGAGGAGCTGCGCCAGGGTACCATCGAGCGAGAGTGCATGGAGGAAGTCTGCAGCTACGAGGAGGTCAAGGAGGTGTTTGAGGACAAAGAGAAAACGGCATGTACTGTTCTGGGGTAGCTTCTGGGAGCAAGGGGAGCCTCAGGAATAACAAAAGCAGGCCCTGGTATCTCACACCAGTCAGAAGCAATAAAGGAAAGCCAGTCCAGTCTAAGGCAGGGCCACTGGGGCCATAGAAGGACAGACAACATGTCTTCAGAGTCCCAGCTGCCTGATTATGGGGACGTCTTCACTTGGGAGCATTGTCCTTTATCCTGGGTGCATTACATAGCCTCTCTGATAGGCCTCAGAAGCCAGTCAGATGCAGTAGGGTGGGGAGCAGCTGCAGGCCCTGCCAAACACACCAGACTTGCTGAAGGTCTCTGAGGTCCAGCTGGGGCATGAGCTCCTGCATATAAATGTAAGTGGCCATTTTTCTTTTGTAGATGGAGTTCTGGAAGGGGTACCCGAATGCAGTCTACTCAGTTCGAGACCCTACACAAAGCCCAGATGCCATGTATGTGGTCGTTCCTCTTCTGGGGGTGGCGTTGCTGATTGTCATTGCCTTGTTCATCATCTGGAGGTGCCAGCTGCATAAAGCCACACGACATCACCCCTCGTATGCTCAGAACCGGTACCTAGCCAGTCGCGCAGGGCACAGCCTCCCCCGGGTCATGGTGTACCGGGGCACTGTGCATAGCCAGGGGGAGTCCTCTGCGCACCGTGAGGCAGGGAGCAATCCTCAGGTGGTGCTGGGGCCTAGTCGAGGGGGCAGAACCACGGTCCACCTTGAGAGCACCCTCTACCTCCCTGAGCTCTCTCTCTCCAGGCTGTCCAGTGCCACCCCTCCCCCATCCTACGAGGAGGTAACTGCACCCCAGGAGAGCAGCAGTGAGGAGGCAAGTGTCTCTTACAGTGACCCACCCCCAAAGTATGAGGAGATAGTGGCCACCAACCCTGGCTCAGACAAGTAGTAGGACTCATGTCCTGTCCAGTATGAAAGCCTCTTTCAGGGGTCTCTTATTTTATTTTTAACTTCTTAAAGACTGTGCCACCACAAAACAGCCTTAGCCTCCTTGTTGCCAAATAATTTCCTAACCGTGGATTTGTAGGAAGTCAGTTGTCAGAGACAGGTGGAGGGGGGTAGGGAACACACCTGCGTCAAAGCCCCTGGGGAGAGCTACAGGCCAGAGAGCTCAGCTCTTCCAGAAGCTCCCATGCTCCTGCCATGCTGTCTTCTCATCAGGAACTGGCTTCTCTTATGCCAAAGGTATTACACCATTGAGTTGATTGTGGCCAGAATGTCCATAGGCTCAGGCCCTGGGGCTGTGCAGCTGGCTGGAGACCTGTCTGTGTTTGGATGCCTAGGCCACAGAGATGAGGGAGAGAAGCTAGCCCTTCAGCAACACCCTTTCCTCAACAGTCCTGTGCTTTCTGTCCTTGCTTACATTTTGAGGACAGGGACAGGACTGAACAAAAAACAAAAACAGTAATAACAAATAAATGACCAACACAATAAAACAAAACAATATAACGGGCCATTTATAGGTGACTGGGGGAAGTCAGCTCTGTGATACTCCCCTGCCCCAACATCTGCCCCGACTCCAGATTAAAAGGAATATCTAGAGCAAGCTGGAAGGAGGGCAGGGTGTGTGAAGGATGAGAGGCAGGGGCCCGGCTGCCAGATTGAACACGAGGCCCACATGAACTTTGCCATCCTGGGGGCTAGCTCTGCTTCTAGTGTGCTTGGCCTCCTGAAGACCTTGGCTTTCCAGATGTGTACTGGCTGTGCTAAAACTGCTACCCACTGGCATGAGCCCAATTATAGCCCTGGAAAAACTAATGCTGGTGACCCTGCCTGGGAAGCCCATGGCCTCTGTGTGGTTGGGGCTACAGGCTGGAGCAGAGAGCTGAAGTTTTCTCCTAATGAGGTTGATTGGCCCATGGGATGCTTAAACCCATGAACTTGGCCTCCTCAGCACTGTGCTTTCTGGCTTTGAACTTTTAGGGTTTTTCCCTTTTCACAAGTAGGTGCAATGAGTTGAACTTGAACTTCAGATGATTGATTTCTCCTTAATAATGGTGCCCACCTGGGGAAAAGATCCTGAAGTGTCCCTTTTTAGAAATTTCTTGACAAGGGAGATGGGGAAGCCTGTGACCTGGGGTCAAAGGCCCATCCAGGGTGTTGCCAGGTGCTGGCATTTTTAATAACCCCTTTCTGTGGCCCAGAGGCTGCCTGTGCATTTCAGTGAGGCTTTGGACAGTAGGGGGGCAGAAGTGACCCAGCCTTTAACTGTCTGTGACCATGCGAAAGACTCTCAACACCGCCTCCCCCACCCTTGCATGTCCATCTTCCTGACCTCCGTGCCAAATCATTTTTTGTCTGTGGTGCTTTAAAAAATGTAGCAAATTTTTGTGGGGCCCAAAAGAGTGCAAAGCCAGGGTCTATTGGCAACCACAGCAGTTTCAAACCCACTGAGAAGACAAGCTTCTTTCTGTCAAAACAGCTCTCTGAGGCAGGCATCAGGCCTCATTCTCTGAATGAAGCCCTGCCTTGAGGCTACAGATGACTTCTGGAGGCCCCTCCAGTCCTGAAGACTTGCCCAGGGACATGCTTCAAGTTAGGAGGCTTCTGTTCTTATCCCAATGAGTCCACCAGCTTGGACAACTTGACTCGGTGGCTGGGGTTTTCTATCCCTCCCCCTACCTCCCAGGCCTATTTGAGGCTGACTGAGCTAATGCCTGTGCAGTTCTTAAAGCACCAGGGAGCCAGTGCAGTTTTCCCTTAGGAAGATTCTTCTAGAAATGTGTAGCTTATAGGGGACCAGTCTTAGTGGAGGCCTTCGTGTGACTGTGATGTTGAGTCTCAACCTGGACATTTGGTCTCCTGCCAGTTGACACTTTCTGTCCCGTCCTTCTCTGAGAGCTCCCTGATGCCCGAGGTGCTGACCTGGTGGCATTCCAGCTTTCCTTTCTTCCTCTTTTCCTCCCTCTGGGCCTCTAACACTGCAGTCCTACCCTTCCTCACAAATGTATTTTTGGCCTACAAAGGCCCTGCTTTACCACGATGGAGGCCATGGTCAGTCGTGTTTGGTCATGTTGGAGGACCTGGGGCAGCCTGAAGCTCAGGGGCCAGCCCAGCTTTCCCAATACTTCCTCAGGCAGGTGCCTGCGTGTGACCTGGGAGCATGGGAGGAGTCAGTTACCCCTATGTATCTCCTCCCCACTGAGAAGAGAGCCAAGCATTGGCCCCACTGACAAGAGCCAAAGAGAGTATGTCAAGGAATGCCTGCTGCCTTTGGCATCTGTTGAGCCCTTCCCTGCCAAGCTGGGTGGAGATGGGAGGGAGCAGGAAGCAGGAACCTGGCCTGGTGGAGGACAGCATGTGTTATGTCCTTCAGGCGCTGAGTGAGGGCCTACAGGGAGAGCTCACAGGCAGCTCCTAGGGTCCTGTGTTCTGTTCAGGTGCTTGGCAGCATTCTTCCAGGTGGGCTTGCCACCGTGGTCTCTGGGATGTTTTTTGTTTTTGTTTTGTTTTTGTTTTTGTTTTTGTTTTGCGGTACACTGTAGAAAAAAGACTGTACAGTATACAATGGTCATAACTCCTCGCGGTGCACATTTGGCTTTTACGAATGCCCTGTATATATCTTCTCAAACTCTGTCTTTGTATGGACGTTGGTTTGATACAATGCTAAATCTGTAGTAGCCACATTTTTGTTGTTTTTGGATGTGTGTGTGTGTGTGTGCCTGCCTGCACACGTGTGCACGTTGCCTTTTCTCATATGCTTATCTGAAACAATAGCTGGTGTGTGGCTATATTTGTACCAGGAGGGTTCCGGTCTGAAGGGAGGAATGTCACCTCCTGGGGCTGGACAGCCTTTTGACAGGGCCCTGAGGGAGGAGAGCTGGTATTAGCTGTCCAAGCCCCGCAAAGTCACCACCTTCTGTCCCCACTTCATAAAAAGTTTTGTGAGAAGACTAAGCAGCTCCATCCTATGGGCCTCTGTCCTGTGGGACCCCGTCTCACATGTCCTTTTGGCATAGTGTCCTCTGCCTCGGCTCCTATTCTGTTGTTATCAACAGATGAAGAAGATCCAAGCACTCCTGGACCATTTTATTTTTTAATTTTATTTTTTTGTGTGAAAAAATATGTGACTCTTGACTTTCAGAATGGTGGGGCTAGTTATTTAGATATTTTTCATTAAGAAAAAAGAGAAAAGGCTTAAAAAATTCCTTGAAATATGACTGTCGCTTGTTTTCAAACAAAAACTTTTTAAGACTTTTTAAAACAAGAATCACAAACATGTCCCTCCAGCACTGCTCCCCATCACCTGGGGTTTTCAAAATGAAAGCACAAGGGAAAGAGTGAGGTGCACAGGTGCCCAGTAACACCCAGCAGGCTGACTTGGAGGCCAGTGACCTCCTTTTGTGCTGGTGATTCCCACTGCCATTAGTGTGAATTCCTTAGGGTGCTTGGGAAAACAGGAATCTGCCCAAAGGTTGGATGTTGTCTTTCTAGTAGCCTGAATATGAGGAATTCAAGACAGGAAAGTGTCTTTTTGTTAAGGAGTTGGAGCCAGATGGTTCCTCTCTGGCTGCGGGTTAATCTTTTGACAAGAAAATGGCATCCCGTGAGAAGAAGGAAAAAACAACACTGCCTCTAGATTGTTCTTTTGTCTGGGGGGACGGGAGGAGGGGACAGGGAGAGAGAGAGGCTCTCTTATTCACCTATGCTCTGTGTTTTGAGGAGTGTGCCTGTGTGCTGTTTTGCTCTCATGCTCAAGGCTGAGAGGGAGAGCTGGGCAGTAAACCTTTTCAGTGTGTGATTCAGAAACAAGCACATTCTCCCCACTGAACTCTGTTCATACTAATCAGTATAATTAGCTAATTTCAAAGTACTGTAATCAGACTGCCTGCAACTATGGTAAAAGCCTATTAATTTGAAGCCCACTAATTCAGAATTTATAGAAAATCACAACTTAAGATAATTCATGGTATCTGTGATTCCTGCGCTGTAGAAATTTTTGAAATATTCTTCCCTTTAGTCAATTTTCAGGGTCATATATGTAAGAGGGATCTAGTTAAAATGAGCACATTTTTCAAATAAAAAGCTCAGGATATCAGGGATCCCTTCACCGTGCCTTCAGCTTTGGGGTTCAGTGATTCTTGTGTGTGAGGCTCTTTCCACATAGGATGATCTCTTGGTCTCTCTCCATTGTGGGAATGTTGGGTGCTGCAGCTTTTCATTCTCCTCCTTTATTTACCTTATGAATAACATAGTTTGTGAACTAGCTTGCAATGTAAAGTAATATAACTGTGTATCCTGCTGAATATTCTGTAAAGCAGATGTTTCGCTAACAGGCTGGCCACTCCCATCATTTGCCCCCAAATACTAAACATACGGAGCTTTTCCTTTCACAGGCTGTGGGCAGTGAGTCTCTCTCTAGCAGGAATTTTTCTGACAAAGATATCCAAATAGCACACCCCCTCGGACTCATTGCCTCAACAGTTGTTCCACTGTACTGAGACATCTGACCGTTGAACAGTGCCTGCCCTTCTCCCGCCCCCAGCCTGAGCATTAACACAGATATTCAAGATTGGAACAAATCCCACAGCTGCTTTTGCCTCCCGATCTGTCTCTCCTTCCGGATGCCACTTTCCCAGGCCTGAACACACCTGCTATTTCACTCTGTGATTGTGAATTTGTGACAATGGAAACCCTGATCTGTGCAACTCAGCTTATAGACATGATTACTGTGAAATGGATTAATTTTGATACCACTTTAAACTGTGCTTGTATTCATGTGTTGACCCATGTCAGCTGGAAAATCCGTACATTCAGTACTATGTCAGGATTTCACTGGAGCCTGGGAGCAACAAACACACTTGCTTCTAATTCACTCTCTCTCTCTCTCTTTTTATAATTGTTGAGTTTAGCTGTTAAATTTTGTCTCTTTCTGTACAAAAAGATAACTAATAATAATAAAGAGCACCTGGCATTCACTTGTGTCCTGTCCTCATCGGTCTTGGATCCCTGCTGACTCCCAAACTTGCAGGAGGTGTTGATGGTTGTGGGCCATCAACTTTGTTTTGGAAAAAAACTTGTTTTTTCCAAAAGTCAGACTGTAGATAAGGAAACAGCCCAAACCAGTTTAAAAGCAGGAAGTAGAGGGATCCTGGGTCCTAAAGTTTGTCCTCATGTTTGTAAGATGATATCCTGACCCATCCCCCTGGGATGAGGTTAGTAAAGTCTGTCACAAATCAAGTTAGCAACTTCCCTGTCACCTGATCCCTGGTTACTCACAGAGGTGTCTCTTGCTAGAAGGATTCCTGGCTTGGTTTCAGAGTTGGGGGAGGGGTGAGAGAGAGAATTTTCCCTGTATCCTGTGAAGGTAGGACTTAATACTCAGGCTTCACCTTGGTTCAGCTTCTTGAATTCTGAGGATGGCAAGACTCAGACTATTCAGAGGACAATGATGCCTTAGCTTCCCCTTGGTGGAAGCATAGTCTTAGCTACAAACAGTCCCAGCATTGGTGTGGGATGAGATATGCCATGGGATATCACCAGTGCAAGTTGGGCCAATCCCCAGGAATGAAAATAACCCACCCTTTAATAGGAAAAGCAATGGAAGTGTTGAGAAAATGACAGTGAAACTTAAGACCTCCTGTGAGGATTGAATATGTAGCCTGAATGCCAGAAATGGCAACCAGAGGTGTTGGGTTCCATTCTTATCCCAGACTGGCTTGTTGAGTAATGTCAACGTTCTAGGGATGCTGAGAAGTTAAATGAATACTCTTCAAGCAGACTTCAGTACACACATGGGATCACATTCTGAACATGGGTTTTGAACTTTAGGTTCTTTTTGTCAGAAACAAAAATTCTAAGCAGTGACTTAAAAGTCTCAAGGTAGCCCATGTAAGGAAGCCAGTATGTGAGAGAGACCCCTGGCTTCCAATGTCCTGCTGGGACACCATCCAAGGGACTGGGTCTCCCTCTCTTGTTTACCTGCTATACCACAAGATCACAGTTTCTAGGGGCAAGACACTGTGATTGCTTGTGGATGGTGAGGGCAAGTCAGGGGCAGGAATTTAAAGGAGTGATAGTAGGGAACAGGGCGGGGGGGCGGGGCAGGCGGGTGCAGATACTGTGCTCCTGGGTGCGGCTTGGAATCCTGTCATTCTTTCCCTAAGCCCCAATCCCGAACTACTGCCAAAGCCTTTGAGGAGCTGGTCTGAGACTGCACAGAGTGAAGGGATGAAAGGATAGTGGGAAGATCCATGACTTGTGCTTGGAACTAATCATAATCAGCATTTATTGAGCACTTAGGGTATGCCAGGCCTTGCACATGTATTAACTGAGACAGTCCTGCCAACAAACCTGTGATAGCTGAGGGAAGCAAGGACAGAGAGGTATGCCATTTGGCCAATGGCTCACAGACAGGAAGTGCTGCCATCATCATGTGAGCTCAGGTCTTCAGTGGTTGCCCCACCCTGAGCCACTCATATGACAGTGCTGGTCTCTTTTGGAGGTCAGTTTGCTTTTGTTTTCTTGTTGATTCGCCAACCCTCCAGCATCCCCACACCTCCTCCTGCCCAACTATTAATTCCACAGGGCAGAGAACCTGTAAAAGTTTTTTCTCCCTAGTTCTTCCTCAGAACTTGGCATGGTGGCTCACAGTCAGTGTTCAATGAAATAAAATGTGTTGATTGATTATATTCTCCAACCAGAACCCAACCTTCAAATGTGTTAGTTTACTTGGGCTGCCATAATGAAGTGCCACAGACTGGATGACTTACAAGACACAGATGTATTCTCTTACAGTTCTAGAAGGTGGAAGTCTGAGATCCAGGTGTTGGCAAGGTTGGTTTCTAAGGCCTTTCCCTTTGGCTTCTAGACCATCCTTTTCTGCCTGTGTCATCACATGCTCTTCCTTAGGTGTGTGTTGGTGTCTTTATCTCCTCTAGGTGTAAGGACACCAGTCAGATTAGATTAGGCCCCATTCTTTTGATCTCATTTAACCTCAATTACCTCTCTAAAGATCCCATCCCCCAGTATAATCATATGCTGAGGTACTGGCAGTGAGGACGTCAACATATGAATTTGGAGGGGGTGGGAGACACAATTCAGCCTATAACATTCCACTTGTAGCAGAGGGAGTCTTTATTGTTCTTTATTCCAATCCTGAGCACATCACACACACTCTGGAAAAGCTTGTGGGTGAACATCATTACTTCTCTTAGGTACTAGCAAAGACAGGGGCACCTTGTTAGTTTCAAACAAGACCCCAGAGCAGTTTCTTCCCTGCCACAAATGGACAGGCCTGGGACGGTTGCCAAAGGTGCCAAAAAGGCAAGTGGAATTGGGAGAGAAGTGGGTTTCAGAACAGTTTTCCCAGGGTCCCTCTGTTGAGAGTGATGTGAGAACCCAAAGCCTGAAAACAGACAAAATTTTTGTTCCCCCTCAGATTTTTTTATAGACAAAATATGTTGTTTTTATGAATGACAAGACCAGCAGCAACAATAGCAGTGACTTTCAGCAACTTCTCTTCTCTGAAGAGCTCAAACTATATGATGAATTCAGTTTCACTAGTCTTTATGTGCTATAAAAATAGAGGCTGGGTAACATTTCATATCAGACTAGTTACAGTAAATCATAGCAGCACAGTGGGTGGACTGGTCAGTCCCAGCACTCCCGAATTCTGGGACTGACAAGGGCATACTGGGGTAGGTGCTGGCAGAACATGATTTTCTACGAGCTGGTGGTGCCCCTGTTTCAAGCAAGGCCATAGGGTTCCAGTAGGGAGTGCAGCAACATTCTAGGTCTTACCTTTCTGGAACTCTGGGCCTAGTTTTGTGGAGGCATTAGACAAGCCACAGCAATGAAGCATGTCAAACTTTCTGCTGGGGGAAGTCCAGGGTGCTGGGACTAGGAGCTGCCAGAGAAAGCCTTTCTGAGGAAGCCATGCCCAACCTAAAGTTTGAAGGATGACTAGGAATCAGTCAGGCAAAGAGCACTGAAGACAATTAAACCAGGCAGAGGAATGGCATATGAAGACCCCTAGAGTCTAGCAAGACCATCAAGCTTCCATGGAAACAGAAGAAGCCAGGGTATCATAAGGGGAAATCCTTGTGCAAGATGAGGTTGGAGAGGCAGAGGGAAGGCAGCCATGTGAGGTCCCAAGGTCATATTCAGAGCTATAGTTTTTACTCCCTAGTGAGAATGTGAGGGCACTGAGGACTGCTTTGAGGAGCAAGAGGACATGGCCAAGCCTGTTATATTTAAAACAATCAGTTGGCCTGCTATGTGGGAAATGGGCTGAAGGTGTCATGACGGGATATAAGAGATAAGGCAGGAGGCTATGCAGTCATCCAGGCAAGAGGCATTGGTGGGATTGCCGAGGAAAGTGGCAAAGGAAACAGAGAGAAGTAGACTACTGAGAAGATTTTTGCTCAAACACTGAATTATATATTGAAGAGGTTGTATCAGGGTTCTCCAGAGACACAGAACCAGTACGAGATGTATACAAGAGATAGAAATACAGGTATCCCCCACTTTTCAATAGTTTGCTTTACGCTACTTTGCTTTTATGAAAGACCTACATTACTGCTTGTTTTCACTGAAAGAAATCAGCAGATTTTTGCTTTTACAAAAAAAAGGCCAAAAGAGATAATAGTGGTTATCCTTCAACATTTGTTTTGCAGTGACATGTTACAGAGGCAGTGCACACGTGGAGCAGCACTTGGTGTCTCAGTATCAAGCTGCCATAGCTGTGAATTGTGTCTGTGAGCAACTGTGCTTCATCTGTTTTTAAAAGTTTTTGTTTCAATTCCAGTTAGTTAACATACAGTGTTATATTAGTTTCAGGTGTACAATATAGTGATTCAACACTTCCATACAACACCCAGTGGTCATCACAAGTGCCCTCCTCAATCCCCATCACCTAGGTCACCCATCACCCCACCCCCTTCCCTCTGGTAACCGTCAGTGTGTTCTCTATAGTTAAGAGTCTGATTCTTGGTTTGTCTCTTTCTTTTTCCCTTTTGCTCATTTGTTTTGCTTCTTAAATTCCACATATAAGTGAAATCATATGGTATTTGTCTTTCTCTGATTGACTTATTTGGCTTAGCATAATACACTTTAGGTGCATCCATGTCATTGCAAATAGCAAGATTTCATTCTTTTTAATGTCTGAGTAATATTCCATTATGTGCTTTTTTTTTTTTAAAGTAAAATACAACAAAATGTTTAATGAGCAAATTCATCTTAGCAAATATGAAACTGCCACAGAGAGGAGAGGGACGGGGCCACGGGGCTGGGGCACAGGTCGGGGAAGACTAAGGAGAAGAGAATCAACTATGTAAGAAACCGGGTCCATTATGTGCTTTTACAGGGGTGCCTGGGTGGTTCAGTCGGTTAAGTGTCTGACTTTGGCTCAGGTCATGATCTCGAGGTTTGTGAGTTCGAGCCCCCTGTTGGGCTCTGTGCTGACAGCTCAGAGCCTGGAGCCTGCTTCAGATTCTGTGTCTCCCTCTCTCTCTTCTCCTCCCCCACTCACGCTCTGTCTCTCTCTCTCTCCCTCTCTCTCTCTCAATAATCAATAAACATTAAAAAAAATTTAAAAAGTAAATAAAAATGCTTTTTACAAAAGATGATAAATGAAGTCTTGGGTGTGGACCCAGTGGGCTAGGAGAGAGGCCTGGTAGGCCAGGGAAAAACTGTGTGGCTGCACAGGTCTGGAAACCAAGGGGGGAGAATGTTTCCAGAAGGAGAGAGAGGACAATGATGTGAAGTGCTTCCAACAAGCGAATTAAAATGAAAAGTGGGGGGGGGGGGGTTCACTGGATCAAGCTGCCAGGAGGTTTCAGTTGAGTTGTGGATGAGAAAGCCAAACTAGAATGAGAAGAGGAATGTCTGGGAGGTCAAAGAGACAGTGTGCTTGGTGGGGGCAACACTTTCAAGGAGTTGAGAAAGGACAGTAGCACGAATGAGACAAGACACAAAG